TCTTTTTTATCCTCATTCCAAATGATCAGAAAAGAGGAAACCAACAATAAAATAGGAGAAAGTACTAAATTATTACTATATTATATAGTAGTAAAACGCATGTGAACAGTAGCCTACTTTTTGATCAGTTCATCAGTAATATTCAGGAAATAATAGATATTGCCCTGCCACCCCCATCCCCGTTGGGCAAAGGGTCGAAATGATCACTTGTTTGTGCTTCGTGAACACTCTCGCCTTGCACGGTGGCACCATTGCGCTGCAAAGATGTACCGGGAGAAGCGTGATTATTAGACGACCGATCATCATATCCAAAAGGCAAATATTCCCCTTCAAAGTCAGAATCGGCGAATAACATTTGCAACACATCCTCACGGTACAACTTTTTATTAGCCATTTGGCAATTTTCTCTCACAATTTACTCGCACGCTATGAGCTGAACTGCTTCCGCATCAATGACACGATAGCTCACTTGCTCTGCTATTTCCTCGAACACTTTGAATATGAATGTGACGTAATTTTGGTCTAGAATCGAAGTACTACATGTCTGCCATCTAGTGGTAGGGAATACAAATGAGATATTACACCATATTAGGAACTACAGTCTATTTTATTAAATATGACGTCTTGTCGCAATTTTGCAACTTTGGCGCTTAGAGGGTTAATACAAAGGACCAAAAACCAATCACAAAGAGTACTTTCTTCATTTAAAAACTTGAGATGCAGTGGGATGGGGAAACCGCCATAAAGTCTTGAGACATATTTTTTAAAAGTTGAACCTACATTAATTTTACATAGCTTTCTAAACATGCGGCTCTCTTGTGCGAGATGCGAGTGCAACGGTAATAGACAGGGTTGCCGGGTTTTCTTGTGAATAGCCTAATCGCTACTCAAAACTAGCCCAATGGCGTTTCGAGGGGGTCCCCAGATAAAAATCACTTTCCGGGGGTAAAATACACGTTTAAAAATCGCTTTCCGGGGGTAAAATACACGTTTAAAAATCGCTTTCCGGGGGTAAAATACACGTTTTTTTGGCGGGGTTCCCCTGCTAAAATTTGCATTCCAGGGGATAAATATCATGTTATTGGAGTCGTTTCAACCCGCGGACATGAAAAACAACCCGTGGCAACGTGTTAAAGTAGCCCAATTCTGGTGGGAAAACCGCGGACTTGGCAACACTGGTAATAGATGTCCCTCTAGAAAATGCGATAAATATGCGTTCTGTGTGAACGGCTTGGTTTTGGTTTTGACGTAAACAACATCTTCCCCGCATTGATTGTTCTCTTTTTCTGCAATATTTTGAATGAACAACGTAGCAGCGCCGCATCTAGTGGGTTCAACTGGATAGGCTAACAAAAGCATTCAAATGCAATGACACTTACATCGTCATCGCATTTCGTGTGCCACTGATAAGGCTGCCTGATGCACACCTAAAATTCGAATGCAACGTTTTTGCATTCGAATGTGGATTTTTATTTTAAATTCGACAAATATTTGAAATTCGATTTTTTTTTGACAGCCCTACAGTGGACCAGCTACTGCACCTTCGGCAAAAGGACTTGTCTATTGAGGATTACGTTCATCAATTTTCTGAGTTGTCCTATCAAGTGCCTTTTGATGAGATCATGTTAAAGGACTTTTTCCGTTATGGACATAATGAACCAATTAAATCATGGTTACCTGAAGGGAAATTTAACTGTAGTTTAAGGGACATTATGGACTATGCTCTTTTGTTATGTGGTTCTCCTTTCACTGTGGGAGAGGCAGAGGACTTTAAAGCCCCAGAGACTTATTACAAAATGGCTACCAGCACAGAGACTTTTCACAAAATGGCCACCAGCCCAGAGACTGTTAACAAGATAACCGCCAGCCCAGAGTCTCTCCACAAAATGGTTGCCAGCCTGGAGACTGTTCACAAAATGGCCGCCGTTCCTGAGTCTCGTCCTGTCATGGCCGCCACTCCTGAGTCTCGTCCTGTCATGGCCGCCATTCCAGAGTCTGCTCACGTCAAGCCTGCCAAGCCAAAGCCTGCTTACATCTCAGCTGATCTTCCAGAGCCTGAGCCACGTCAAGTCACAGCTGATCTCCCTGAGTCAAATCAAGTAACAGCTGATCTCCCTGAGTCTCGTCACGTCACAGCTGATCATCCAGAGACTTGTCACATCACAACTGATCGTCCAGAGTCTCGTCACGACACAGCTGTCATCCCGAGCCACGCAGACTCAGTGTTCTCAGGCGACACTGTTTCAACATTCTCAAGCCTGCCGGCCACTACTCACTCCAGTTCCCCAGGCACAGTGTCGTCAGTCTCAGAGATAGACGATGTACTCTCTGTCCTAACAGTTATAGCTACGGCTATTCTGTGTGTTTGGGCCGCACACACCACCATAGTTCCCCCAGAGGTGGCAGCCTCTGCTGCAGAACCTCCCAAGGTGGTGGCACCCACTCTACTCCCAGAATCCGCCCTGTTCCCCGAATCCATTTCCAAGCCTGCTCTAGTTCCAGAATCCATTGCTGAGCCTCTTCCAGTCCCTGAGTCAGCTCCAGAAATTACTCCAGCACTTGAATCAGTCCCAGAGCCATTTCCTGTCCCTGAGTCTGTTCCAGTTTCTTCTAAGGTGGCAACTTCCGTTGCAGAACTTTTCACGGCAGAAATATCCGCTCCAGCTCCTTCCGAGACAGCAGCAGCACTCTCCCCTGAGCTCTCGGTGTTCCCTGTTGCCTCTGTTTCTACCACGGACACTAGTTTTGAACTCTCCCAGTTTCCTGATGCCTCTGTTATGGCCGCAAGTGCTGTCTCTGAACTCCCTGTGTGTGTGTTGTAGCTCCTATTGCTACTGCTGCAGAACCTCCAGAGGTGGCGGAATCCACTGCAGAACTTCCAGAGGTGGCGGGGGTGTTTGCTTCAGATCCTCTTAAGACAGGGGTGCCCACTAATGAACTCTTTGTCTTTCCTGATGAGGTCATGGAGACCGTCAGTAAATCCCCTGTCAAAACAGTCTCGGCTCTAGAAGCCAATCATGAATTCTCAGCCCTGCCTGTTACAGTCGTTAAGACTGCCTCTGAATTCACTCAGTGCCCTGCCATAGCCAATAAGGCCGATCCCAAGCTCTCTGCCTGTCCTGTCATGGCTATTGAGGCCGCCTATGAACTCTCTGCCTGTCCTGTCATGGCTATGGAGGCTACCTGTGAACTCTCTGCCTGTCCTGTCACGGCTATGGAGGCCATCTGTGAACTCTCTGCCTGTCCTGTCACAGCTATGGAGGCCGCCTGTGAACTCTCTGCCTGTCCTGTTACGGATAAGAAGGCCGTTTCTGAACCCTCAGTCTGTCCTGTTACAGCTATGGAGGCCGTCTGTGAACTCTCTGCCTGTCCAGTCATGGCTATGGAGGCCGTCTGTGAACTCTCTGCCTGTCCTGTTACGGCTAAGGAGGCCATTTCTGAACCCTCAGTCTGTCCTGTTACGGCTAAGAAGGCCGTTTCTGAACTCTCAGTCTGTCCTGTTCAGACGTTCTCTGCCTGTCCTGTTACGGCTAAGGAGGCCATTTCTGAACCCTCAGTCTGTCCTGTTACGGCTAAGAAGGCCGTTTCTGAACTCTCAGTCTGTCCTGTTCAGACCAAGGAGGTCGATTCTGAACTCTCTGACTGTCCAGCCATGGTCAAAAGGGCTGCCTCTGAACTCTCTGTTCACCCTGTTACGGCCAAAGTAGTTCTGGTACGGCGGCTGAGGCTGTTGTTAACCTCTCTGTGCTCTATGTTCCTGTTCTGCCTGATCCGCCTTGGTGGTATCCTGCACCATCAGCTCCACTGAAGTGGTCTTCAGCTCCATCAGCTTCACCCTGGTACTCACCTGCTCCGCCCTGGTGGTCGCCTGCTCCGTCCTGGTGGTCTTCAGCTCTGCCTGCTCTGCCCTGGTAGTCTTCTGCTCTGCCTGCTCCACCCTGGTGGTCTTCTGCTACGCCCTGGTGGTCTTCTCTGCCCTGGTGGGCTCCAGCTCCGCCGACTCTGGTCTGTTCATGTTAAGGAGCGTCTGGAAGCCACACTTTGGGGGGGGAGGACTATAAGAATAGCACGCACACTCTCTGTCTTCGCTGGTGATTGAATGTTTGTATATTTTCCTAGTTTCCCGTGAGTTCCTTGTTTTCCAAGTTTCCTAGTTTTGCCTTGCCTTAGTGTTTTGATCATGGACCGTTTCCTTGACTCTGATTGTTTGCTACCTACCTTTATCTTCGCTTGTTCCATGGAATACTCTTTTGCCATTGCCTTGGATGTGATTTTTTGCTGATGTTTGACCCTGCCTGTTTTGACCACGCTCTTCTAATAAAGCCTGCTATTGGATCCCCACTCCGTTGTCGCCTCCCTCCTTACAATTATGCTATATATTATTAGCAGTAGTATTTATTACTCTTATTCTTATGTTTATTTTTCTTGTTAAATACATTTTTCTTGTTTTTGTGTGTGTGTGGGCAAAGATAAATAAAATAACAAAATATAAATGAATAAATGAAATGATTTAATTTTGCAGCGTTGCTGTACCTGCTGGTCTGCATTCTGATCCAAAGCAGAGAAATCCTTCACGAATATCATATTTTTGAATGAACTGCAGACATTGATCCACAATTACAGATGAAAGCGATATATAGTATTGTTTTATCTGCAAATAGTAAAAGGAAAACGATTTCAGCCATGGTTTTATTTTACATAATAAAACATGAGTTTTCTGAACAAGTTGTACACACAAATATCTATCACAGTACTCGGTAAAAGGAAAACGATTTCAGCCATGGTTTTATTTTACATAATAAAACATTAGTTTTCTGAACAAGTTGTACACACAAATATCTATCACAGTACTCTCTTGCATAAATAGTAACCCACAATATCTATGCATGCAATGAGAATAGAATGCACACAATGAGTGTCTCTAACATCTTTTTCTCTCTCCTCTCTTTCCTCCCTCCCTCCTCCTTCAACACTGCCCTCTTCTATCTTCGCTGGAGCAGTGGATCACTTGGGCATTGAGTTCATGGGTAAGAAAAAGAAAGAGTTTTCTTATTGGCAGAGCGATGAATCATGCTTACAGCGTTTATATGTGCCTTTGTGCAGCAATGGTTTTCTTTTCATTGCATGTGTTTGAATGTGAACGTTCCTGTTATTTCTTTTGACTGTGCACTGTATGTGGGCTAAAATGTTGTTTTCCCTTCTTGACTCTTCACAACAAACAACTCTTATGAAAATACCCCCAGAGTCGTCATGAATGCATTCGCATTTGTAGAGATGTAATATTTAAAGCACAAGGTTGCTTCATTCACATTTGACAGGACAAGAAGTTATCGTGCTATTTACCAAAGCGTTGTGGTGCAGGGATATGTAATTAAACTAGTTTTGTATCAAATAACCACCCTGTGCAGTTTATGGTCAGAGATTAGTAACAGAGAGAAATTATAAATGAACACGGTTGAGATCATAGGTGTCAGCTCACTGCCTTTCATTTGCTCTTAAACTACTCTTCCCTCTCCTCCAATCACTTGCCTGCATTCCACTGCAGAATTCCAATGCCTTTTGGTCTCCTTGGAAACGGCATTGAAATGTTGAGAGTACAGTGACAGGAGACAGTGAGGGTGAATTCATATTGTTGGCACAGTTTCAAAGGTACCAGTCTCTGTGTCTGTAACATTTTTGTGGTTAATAAAATGTATTGTGCATTTGACATTGCATATGTAGGCGTATGCAATAATGAATATTTATTTTTGCACAAATACACATTTTACTGTTTGCATCAAATAATCTAATCTACTCCAGATTCTTAATTACCCCATTATTAAGTGGCATTTTATATGACTTTAATGTGTCATCATCTTGTGCCTTAGAAAGAAAAATGTCTATCAGTATTTTGATTATAGAGCTTGGAAGATTCCCAGAGCTGTAGATCGATGAACGAGGAAGGGTAACAGGCAGATGGATTTTGTTCACGTTCATTTCCAATTTCCATTGCTGAGGCCTGTAGCGCTCCTCTTCCAGAAGGTCCCTGATTGAGAGGAGCCAGGTCTTCACTCACTTTGATATCTGGATTTTGATTGTTTTTCCTTTTTTCTTTTTGTCCAGCCAAACTCGACAAGATAGATGCACTCACTTCTGTCAGCACACTCGTAGGCAAGCGGTCAGAGTAGCCTACCTGATTTCATTTAATTAATGACTGAACTGGTAGTTTCAATGAGCTCAACACACTTTTTTCATTGCCTTTTCCCAGCGACTCACATTTCATTTTATGATTTATTTCATGATATCTATCTATCTATCTGTCTATCTATCTATCTGTCTGTCTGTCTGTCTGTCTGTCAAATTCTGAATTATTGAACGTCAAATGGGGCACCCTACAGCCTTGTGGACATCATGAACTGTGTGAGCCTTGTGGACATCATGAACATGAAGTGTGTGATTTGAGACAGGGCCTAAGTGTTTTGATTCTGCAGTCTGCAAAAAATAACATTATGAAGTCTGAGACGTGCTTTCATGCCTTGCTTTATCTCACACAGCTGAGTGTGACAGCTTGTTTAAGACTTTAAGCATTTATTTTCTATGTGATGGTTTGATAGTTGCCATGTACGTACTCAAAGCTCAGAATGATTCCTGTGAAGCCAGTGTCACTTCCTCTTAACGGCAACGGCAAAGAGTGGACTACATTGATGAAAGAGAGTAGAGTGATTCCTGCAGGCCTTTTAAGACCACATACTGAGCTTGGCTTTCACTTTAGTGAACATAGGGAACATAGGAGATGACACAAGTAAAAGTATAGAAAAAAGGCAAAATGTCTCACGGGGTGAGAATGGAAATTTACAAAAAATTTCTAGTTTTAGGTAGATAAAAAGATTGCTGCACACCTAGAAAGTGTTTTAGAGTTTATGAATACACAACATGGCTCAGCATAGTGTTGGGCGATATGGTCATTTTTCAAATCGTCATATCGCCAGTCCGTAAGATCGCCGATAGACGATATTATCGTGCATGGGTGGGTGGGGGCGAGAGAGAGACTCCCTGTACTTGTCATAGGCTAT